TCCAATACTGAGATAACTATTTGTCTGGAGTTAAGCTGGCCATACACTATGCAAATTTTGACTGGTTCTTGATTAATCAGCCGAAATTCACACAGTGGGTTCTGCTGTCGGCACCCTTTCGGCCAGCATCCCTTGATCAACTAATTGAAGGAGCTGGTTGGAAAATCTTTGAACGAACAAAGCTGGCAGCCCACCAGCTGCCAACTCTGTTCCGGGAGTTCTGATGGCGGTCAGCGGCAATTGTCAGAATACAGGGAAGACAGCTTGAGTTTCCTTGTTCAAAGCTTGTAAGGGTTGATGGAGGATTCTGTTATATTACAGTGTATGGGCAGCTTTAGGCTTTAACTTAGACTTATATATATTGACTTACTATCAATGTAAATCTTTTTTTTCTATGAACAGTGACATATTAATGCTAATTGTATATCTAAGATGGTACTCATATTCATCTGTGTGTGCCTGTCCAATGATTTATTAACACACCAAAAGCTTTTCTTTGGTTATTCATTGTCCTTATTAAAGATGAGCTTTGCATGGGAAATGTTTAGCTATGGGTAAAGTTATACCATGCAATAATGTCCACATGGGATTTTAACTGAGTGGGAAGCACAATATAACTGAAACCTCGAAAGATGAGTTACGCTGTAATAATGTTGATGATGTATTTCTAATAACGAGTCAAGTATTGGCTAAGGTCCTAACCAGAATCCCTAATTCCACATAATGACCATCTGGATCTCTATTGTAATGCATACTCGTCCCCTTCCACCTCCTAGTTATGTATCCCTTTACAAACAGCACACTGTACAGCCAGATGGTACAAAACACATATATCCTAATAGTCTTAGCAACCTACATCTTGACCTCTTAGTACAGTATATGCTCTCATTTCTATTTATAACATACAATAATAATAGATATACTGTACATTCTACTTGTCCTCTAAAATAAGATTTACCATGGAGTTTAAATCACCCACAGGTTTTTTAGATTTCTCTCACTACTCCACTGGCTAGGTATATGGTCCATGAACCTAACTCCAATGGCCAATACAAGTAAATCTCATTGCCCCTGTTAGATTTTGCAATACAATTACATTACTGAAAAAGAAGAAAGATTGAAATATAGACTTCAGCTGCTGGCACTAGAAAAAGTGAGACTCTGTGGTCTGAGAGGGAGAATTGTGAACTCTTTAAATGTCCCTATGACATATAAATAGTCCCATTTATGTATCCCATCAGGTAGGTGGAAGCCCAGGTCTGTGTGAACTGACTTTCATTCATTGTAGAATCAGATGAAGTTCACTTATTATAACTGGACCCACATGACAATCAGTAACATAGAACTGAAAATGGCCATGGCAACCTTTGCTTTCAATTTACATCATACTTGTTCTTAAGAGAGAAGCAGATTTACTGTTTAATCTGCATTTGTGTAGCCTACCTAACAAGGAGCAGACTTTTATATATATATATATACATATACATACACACATACTGTATATAAAAGTCTGCTCCTTGTTAGGTAGGCTACACAAATGCAGATGAAATAGTAAATCTGCTTCTCTCTTAAGAACAATTTAGTTCACACTTAGTGACATTTTCATTAGTGAAGAACAGGGGCTGTCATTGCTGGCCTTCTTGTGTGTTAGTTGCCTAGCTGAATTAATCATTAATTTTGAGTCACAGATATGGAACAAGTATGATGTAAATAAGTGTCAGTAAAGAGTCAAAATTTCTAATCTCTATATCTGTTCCAGGTCAACAAGCCAAAGCATTAGCATGACAGCCAGGGAATTAACATTCTCAAACGAATTCAGCAATAGAAACCTCCAGTATTCCTTCATGAGACAATCCCTTTAGGGTTACTTTGCCTATTGTTCTCATTCCAATAATATGAATCGCATGTAAGGCCATTTGTCCCTTATTGTCTACTTTATGATGTTTTCATTGCTTTGTTTTGTTTTTTTATTACATGAAGCAAATGTATTTTTAGAATAACAAGAAAAAACACATTCAATTCAAACACATATATGTTAGATTTCTTACAACAGACAGTGCCTGTATTATCAGTGGACCTTATAGATGGGGTGGTTCTTATACCAGCGGTTTTTGTAAATAATGCTGCTAGTGGTCTTAGAAATCCATATAACAGGTGGTGCTTGTAGTGCCAAAACATCTTGTAACAGATAGTTCTTGTAGCACCAGAGGTCTTTATTACAGATGTTGCTAGTGGTAGCAGAGATCCATAAAATAGACAGCGCTTGTAGTCTCAAAAATTCTTATACCAAATGGTGATTTTTAGTAGCAGAGGTCATTATAACAGAGGTAAACCAGGGGTGTCAAACACATGTCCTGCTTCAGCAGGCAGCAGGGAAAGTGCAAGTGGTAGTAAGCAGAAGTTGATTGCAGTGTAATACCCACCCACATCCTGTCTATTACAATCCAAAGGGGCAGGCTGTAGGCAGTGACTGATAGGTGGTGTGCAGGCAGGGACTTCACTTTGGCTGGGGCAAGTTAGGCCTCATTCACATTGCCGTACAATACGCTACGTATATGCGCGTACGCGCATATTGTCCCATATGCAGCATATGCAAATAAATGGCTCCATACACTTGAATTTGCCGTGCCTGGTTTAAATGGTACTAGTGGTCCTTAAAACCGATGCCGGGTGGTGGATCGGACGGACAATTGATCCCTTGGCCTGTCTCTTACACTTGAATGACATGTCCATTGCAAAATATAAGAAGTCTCTGACCAGGCGCCTCCTTAATGCAGCCCGATTGTGCATCCCATTGTTATGGAAACAAACTTGTCCCAGTCTCTCTCTATGGTTCTCCAAGATTAACGAGCTTTACCTGATGGAAGACATGACTTCCACGCTTCGAAACACTGAGTAAATCTTCAGGTCCACCTGGAGGCCATGGGTTGCTTATAGAGCCACGGACGCCTACCTAGGGGTGATGTCCTCCACCTCCACCTAATCTCTAACCGGCCGGGATCACTGAGGCCTGTCGTACACGTGTCAGACCCATCACCTTTCCTTCTCTCACTGGATCTCTTTCTCCCCTTCTAACCCACCCCCCCCT